GTTCAGCTCGCGATGTGGTCGACGTTATGCTCAACCATTTGGTCGGCCGCTCATCGCTGCTCAACGACACGATAGGCCGACATAACAACCGAATTGTCATTTTGCTCAACAATACGGGCGGACTCTCGCTGTTTGAGCTCAACATAATAGTTAAAGAGACTGTCAATCAATTACAGACACGGAAGCTATGCGTCGAACGGATATATTTGGGATGTTTTATGACATCTTTCTCGATGTCTGGCGTTTCGTTGTCAGCGATGGCAGTCGACGACCGCATACTTCAACTGTTGGACAGTCCGTCCGCATCGAGCGCGTGGACACAACTCCTTAATACACCAAAAGTGCTCAATCGGTCCGTCATTTTGCAGAATCCGATTCCCAGTCCAAAGGATGAGACACCGGATTACGAGACCATCGATGGACTTAAGTTTGGCAGAGAGTTGTTTGTGAGGGCTATTGAGCTCTCGTGTAAAGCTTTGGTATAAAAATAACTCTTTTTCTCTATAAAAATATTTTTATACAAAAGCGATCATAACTTATGAAATAGTGTTTTATAAGTCGTTTATGGGAACATATAAACTGAATTTATGATAGGATTCCACTGTTATTGCAATATATTTATAAATTATTGTAAAATGTGATTCATTTTCAAACAATGCCATGATCATTTTTTGCACAACACAATGCCTCCAGGTTTAAGTTGTCAAACAAACAGTTTTATTTATAATCATGCTCAAATGCGATTAACTATTAATTTTGATTTGTGATCATTTCTTGCATTGCATATAAGCTTAAAAAGTCATTAACTATTGAACGACTACTAAATAACAGATTTTTAATGAAAACAAGAATCAAACACCGATTCTATACGTTAACTACAATTCGAGTGATGCTTAAAGAATAGATTAGCATTATCCATAGATTTAATATGAGTTTCATAGACTTAGCATTGACCATGTTAAACCTGTGCCATAGACTTAAGCTGTAATTCCATAGGAACCTATTGAAAATTTTCCCCATTTTCATATCTGAATTGTGGTTAAAAATATTGATTTCATTAATAAAAATCAGTTTTATTTCGTTAGATATCGTCTGAAAAACATCTCAACGAATTGGACACAGAATTAGGTGACGGCGACTGCGGGTCCACATTAAGTGGGGCTTCAAAACTGTTGCTTAAACTAATAACAGGTAATCATTTGTTATTGAAAATATTTTGCAAAATAAATTAATCAATATTTATACGAAAGAGAAACAATTGAAGCCATCATTCTTCCAGTTGTCTCACTTCTGTGAGGCCAATATGGGCGGCACTTCCGGCGCCATATATAGCCTCATGTTTACGGCCGCCTCTCAGGCCATTCGGGCGAATGTCAAACGAATAGACCGTTCCTATGATTACATCGATTTGTGGAGAGATGTCATTAAATATAGTTTGCAAACTATAACTCAATACAGTTTCGCAAAACCTGGCGATCGATCAATGCTTGGTTTGTATGGCTTTTAATGACAAAACTTTTAATTTATTCTCAATTTACATCTCTCTCTCTCTCTCTCTTGTGTCCGCATAAAAACATTTTATAATAATTCTGTCGAATCTAATGACTTATAGAATAAGATTTATTGTAATATATGACTGAATATATAATTTATAACTAATTATCGTATGTATTCTTTACGTTAAAATCATGAATATTTANGCTTATCATCAAATCGCCAAATTGGTTGCACAGAGCGCTAAAAAAGGCGCCGGTATTAGAGATTTACTTAAAAATTAAATTTGCATTTTATATAAAAATACATTGAATTGATTTGCATTGAAATTCACACACATTTCTCTATACAGAGAGCACGGCGTCGATGAGTGCCAACGTTGGCAGAGCTTCGTATGTTAATAAAGCCTCAATCGCGAGACCAGATCCGGGCGCTATAGCCGTCTCCATTTGGATTGACTCAATCGCTCAGGCATTCAATGAATTTGCTAATAGAAAATGAACTTAATTCACACTTTTTTGCCTTTAAATACTCCTTATATATGATATACTTTAAGAACATATATTCAATCGATTTTAATCAACTAAAAAAATAGGAAATAAAAAGATTTTGACACAAGTACTACTAAAATAAAAAGTGCATTAATTAATGATGGTTGAATGTGTCGGACAATCATATGAATTATTTACTCATTTGACATAACACTTACCTTAATGTACTGTATATTGTATTATCTCTCTATAGGAATCTATCAAAACATTGTCATTTAATTCAACATTTGGTCAAAAATGCTACACAAAAACAAGAATAAGTCGTGAAGTAAAGTGCAGTGATGTTTGGGATGTGCAGGGGTTGGGCAGTCGGGGAGAGGCAGCGGTTTGTGATGTATTGATTAGTTTTTGTGTTTAACAAAATCCCTATATTTCCCAAAAGTTTATTTTATTTGATATATTGTTTTGATCGGAATTTTTATCTCATCTAAAAAATTACATTTTGTTGAATAATATGTTATGTTTTCATTCAATGCTTTGGCATTTCAATTGATTGCAACAAAACTTTTTTATTGGTC